TAAATGTCTTGACGTAGGAGTTGATGCACCCCCTCCCCTTTTGGTGCTACTGTAGTTCTCTTCCATCACTGCTAAGTTTTGGTAGTCCCTATGTTGTATGAAGTATGGATGAAAACATCTTCCCCATATTGTAAAAAAAAACACCCCCATTTTTTCCTAAAAAATCCTTTGAGCATCAGCACTTGGAATAAGTTAATCCAAGACTCCTGCCCAGAACCAGTCCTTCCAGAAGAAGGGCTGTAGGTAAGGGCTGGTCCTGCCAGCTGAGCCCTTAGGGTCAGAATTGCCTTTGTGACAGCTTTTTGAAAAAGTGAAACTTGAAGTCAGAGCTCTCTGGGATGCTCAGTCCATACCGCAGGAGCTACACCAGACTGTCCACAGCGAATTCTTTGGCACCTCATATTTTAAAACATGTGATGGCTTCCAGGAGTATTTCAATTCAGTTTTGCAATAGCAACCTCCCCTCAAGTCCTGAGGGACAATCACAGACATCTGTCAAGGACAAAGGTCTTTTTGACATCGTGTAGGCAAGCACATCAACATCTGTACCCATCTCAAGAAGCGATGTGGAAAGCATCAGGACCATGCTCTGCTCTCCTGCTTGAATGGCCATATGAAGACTCAGCATGAATCTCAAACTCATTTTCTGGATCCACACTGGGTCACCCTGTCCATTCTACCACCAGGATTTAGGTTGTAGAAAAACCTAAGGAAAACCCATTTCTTATTTTTTTGTGTCCCAGAGCCATATGGATTTTATTTCTAGAACAAGCTCCTGCTGTGAAAAGCGATGTTGCTAACAGTCAGCAAGCCAAATCTGCAAATTTTAGTTGTTTTAAAACTTACTCAAAGTTTAAGAAGTTCCAGACTGTTCCTGTACTTCAGACTCCTGCCTGTATACACACATTGTGACCATCTGTCCTAAAAGATCCAACTGTCTTTAGCTTTTCTTCTTGCACTGAATGGACCCTGCACACTTTCTGAAATTAAGCTATATATCTGTGCTCATATAGTTGCCAAAAAGTTGCACCCTTCCTGCAGTTGGTAATTTTTGTTTTGGCATTCTCACCAGCCCAAAAAATTAGCTAATTAGATGCACTATCTCCAAAGATAAAGGAAAATATTTCACCTGAAAAACAAAATAATACAATTACAGCCTGGAGATTAGAGCTCTCTGCAGTGATGTCATTCACTTTGGCTTTGCACCGACTTGATTGTGCTTTATCTCAACTGACAGCTCAGAGCAAACTTTCACTGAGGTCAGGAGCTGTAAAGACCTCATTGTGTATGTATGTGCAATGTCCAATGAGTCAAAGGTTGGTTCAGGTATCCAGACTTGTCTGTGCTAGTACAGATTGTAATGATTTCAGATAAACACTTTTATTTAAGTTTCCTCTGCTGAATTTCAACTGAAGCAATGTTTGACTGGACACTTGGATCATCCAGAGAGGGGATGGCAGTACCATGGACTCCTCACCCAATGTGGGAGATGGGTAGGGCAGAGACAGCAAATGCTGCTAACCAGCAAGTGAGGAGTTCATGCTGAACATCCTTTCTATGCCTTGTACCATTTTGAAGAAATCACTTCTGAAATGTTTTTTTCCCCTCACACCTTAGACAGGTTAAAACTGATACTGACTGCAGTATTTGTCTCTACTTGGATGTCTAGCTTTAATCCTTTCCTTTTTTGAAAGCCTAGCTTCTACTTTCAAAGAGTCCTTTCTTCTTGCAGAGCCCCTGGAGGAACCTGTGTGCTCACAAAGTATTTAAGGATTGACAACAGCAGTATTTTAGATTTTGAAGGGTCAACATCACTTGAACTAGCTTAATCTCATGAGTCTGCAAAGCTGGGTTAGAAATGCTGCCTAAACAAGTACTCCATCCACCTGGCCTTAGTCCTGGCTGAAATCCAGAGACAAGGACAAAAGCAGATGGGGGAAGAAAAGAAACAGTTCATTAAAGGCCAGGTTCTGAGCAGCTCCTTCAGGTCATTACAGCCACATCTAGGGAACATAGTTTCATTTAAAGTTCCTCTTTTCTTTGCTGTCAGCATCTAAGCGTAGTTGGCCTTAGGCCCCTCAGAGCCTCATGAGGTTTCCCTTCAGCTCATCAACCAGCAGTTTTCTAGGCATGGGTTAAAGAGCAGGCTGCTGCTTGTGTAAGAAGAGTTACTGCAGAAACATCAATATGCCAGACTGTCTGGAGGAACCACAGTTAGCTCAATGATCATGTCTCCTGACAGTCCGCACTACATTGTCATGCAGTCTCCACCATCCCAGTTACTTCTAACACAGGTTGGAGCCCCTCTCCTTGAAGACCCTCAGTAAGGTACATGTCTGTATCAAACAAAGCAGCAGTATCTCAGTGGGATGTCAAAAATCTGCACAATAAAAACCTTTCAGGGACTGGTTCAGCTGCTCACAAACAGCCACCCAGTGCCATCCCATACATTCAAGAAGGGTTTGCAAAACATTCAGGTGGGATTGATGGAGAGGACACAAAGAGAGCCCTCTGCTTCTCCATAGCAGCTGGAGACCAGACAGGTCATGTCAAAGAGCACTAGATGGCTTCATTTTGCAGATAACCGAGCTGTCAATGTCTGTAGTAACTGGACGGACAGGAATTTTGCATCTATTGGCTTTAATCATCAGGCCCAAACCAAAATAGCTATTTTAGAAAGATGCAGAGATGACCTAAACCTCCAACAACATTCAGTTTGATTGCAAAAAGAGCTTTTAAGGACAGTGCCTAGCAGGCTGCAGCCTTTTGGGGCTCACAAAGCCCTGAGAGCAATGCCAGCATCTTTATGTACTGCCCCATGGTGCAGACACTGTACCTTGTAAAGGTAAAAAACTTGCAGCTCCTGGGCTGATGCTTTTTCCAGAGGTCTTTGCAGTACTTAACTTTAATAACTTAAAAAGTGCAAAGTGCAAGTCTAGCATCAATCACTTAATAATAGCTTGTCTTGTCCCTTTACCGCCCTCTCCTCTGAATGCTGTTTAAAAGCAGTGTCTATAACATCAATATTTAACCACGAGGCTTGCTCATTCTCACAAGCATGGGGATTGCTGTACATGTGGGCTAAATCACAGTGCCTAGACAGCTGATAATAATGAAAGCATCTTTTAAGATGAGGCACTTGATTGCTACTCTAAAGCTTACTGGTGAAAGGAATGTGTAATCTATTTTTTTATTGCATTTGAAATTAAATAGCTTGTTTAAATATTAGTCATCTGGATTTATATAGCTCATTTTTAGAACTGAGTTAGCACCTGGCAATCCAGCCTGAGTAAGCATGAGGCTATCCCAGTTGTAGGCCCATTTGATTTCTCTTTCCTCTTTTTACAATGTGTGACAGACTTTTTTTTTCTGATATGATTTCCTTCCCACTTCACAGGAGACAAATCCACGCACTCAGACCAGCTGCCTGGCAGCAGCCCAGGGAGGGGAAGCAGCCCAGCAGCAGGGCTGGTCCCTGTGCCAACACTGCTCTGACACTTCTTGTGTGGGGAACAGCAGCTCCCTCAGAGTAACAGGGTGCCCCAGGTAGAAGAAAACAGAATGGCAAAGTACTTTATTTTCTGACTGTGGGACAAAGCTCAAGGGAATTTTCAGTATTACTGTCTGTGACATTTTCCTGAACATTGAAGGAGGTTTTTCCTGCTGCTAAAAACCTTCATCTCTGCTTTCCAAGCTGTCTTTGTATTTCCTTTCCCAAGTGCTTCACTGTTGTTTTTCTACCTTTGCCTTAAATTTCTGCAGTGTGGCACAAATACGAAGCACACTCTTGGCAGAAAACACACTGCAAAATTCTGCCTGGCTAAGAACCGTGCAGAAGCCTTCTTCGTGTCTTCTGCACATCTGGGGACTGCACTGATAGAGACAAACAGACAAATGATGCTGCCTAACGACTTCTTTTCCCTTGGGGGAAGTGCTGAGCAGGACAATAGATACACTTTGCAACACTGTTCCCAGGGGAGTTTATCTAAGCAGGGAGAACAATTAATAGGCAGCCTTTTAGAGAGAAATGAATTTGCTAAAATATAGAAGAGTTAAGGAGATTTGCTGGAATACCAAACACCTGGGACCTAAAAGTGTCTGTGCAGGGTCCAGCCCATGTCCCTGTACCCAGCCAGTGCAGGTAGTGCCAGTGAGGTCCATCTCACTGCGGCAGGACTGCCTCTCAGGGTACCACCAGCGCAGCCATCACGCTCCAGAAAGGCTCTGTACATCAGGGATCACAGGAATACTGATGTGGAAGGAAGCTGGCAGAGGTAGCCGGCAGGAACTGCAGGCACAAGGTGTGCCAGACATGGGGATGCATGGCTGGAAATTAGGAGGAGCTCAGATGAGCTGGATAAGGCTTAGGAGCTCTGATTTGTATGAAGAGAAATAGATGAGCCTCAGCCTATATGTACATTTGTGGGAAAACTGATCACTTGCCGTTGACTGCTGACGTGCCTCTGACTTTCGTTACGGGTGTAAGGAATTTAAAACCAATGAACCTGACTCAATGCTATGGTAAACCAGTAGAGCTCCAGTGCCTTGAAGAGAGCCAAACCTGCAGGATGATCTAGGCAGAATGTTTGAATTTTCGCCTGCTTATAAATTAATTTGTCTTGGAGCACCCAGATCTCCAAGGCGCACACCTGGCAAAAGAGGAGGTCATGCAACTCAAGGGGAAGCACAGCATCATGTCTCTGCAGAAAGTGTTTCCCAGGGCTAGGGCATTAGGAAACCATTAAAAGCTAAGGAATCATATGTAATACAATGAAAGGAGGGAATTTCTCTGGCTTTCCTCCAAATGCCAAGCATTATTCATTGATCAGAAAACAGATCTCCATCTCCACTGAGAACACTTTTCCCTCCATTTGCTAAGTGGAAAATGACAAACGAACCAGCTGTGCCCTCTCCCATGTCCCTTCTCCTTCAGTCTCTACAGGCATCCCTGTTGCTTCACCCTCCCTCAGCGTACAACAACCGTAGCAGCAGCTACTTACTCGGCACCACTAGCAACCTCGGGGGCGGTGGAGGTGGAGGAGGTGGTGGTAACGGCGGAGGGGGCCTGCACTGGCAGATTTCCTGGCAGCTCTCTGTGACTTTCTCTGCTACAGGCTTGGAGCATGACTTCTGGGGCTCACCCTGAGTGATCTGTAGAGAAACAAGTCATTGCATGAGCAGCAGAAACAGTGAAAACTGATTTTCCATTAATGTATTTCTTGGACTTGAGTACCTGAGTGGCACCTAAGGCCTGTAGTGAGAACTGAGCTTGTGTTCCTCACTAAGGAGGTCTCTTCCCTACATGGTCCCCATTTTTATTTTTTTTACTTAAAGCAATATCTTCAAGACGTCTTTCCCTTTGTCAAGTTTGTTTGAAACTGGCCAGCTGGTTTCTGAGTTATTATGGGGTAAGGAGAAGGCGGGTAGTGGCAGACAATATGATTACATAAGCCTTCTTTCCTTAGGAAAGCCATCTAGCAGCATGCATTATTCACACCATCGTTGCTGCAAGCCAAGGAGAGCTAATAAAAATTACAAGACAGTTAGGGTCAGGATTATGTTCACTTTCCTTATGGCAGAACTGAAAGCCAGAGGAGATCTCTCCTCTTCTTTGCCAGCCTCCCTTTGATGTTCAGAGAGCATTTCATGGAGTGTTTCACTTCCCATCAAGAGGAGAGGGAGCCCACATTTTACCCATCTGTGGACCGTGACAATGACATGGTCAAAATGGAAAATGCCACAGGCTGTGACTTGTAGCCTTGGCTAGTAAGAAGGCTGAAGATGAGGCATTGTGGAACCCAAGTGTAGGCATCACTTGGCCCCGGACAATGCTTTAGCCAGTACTGGTATACAATATATTCAATAGCTTGATCTAGTCATGCCAAGAACCATTTGTTAACAGCATGTTTTTCTTACCATCAGTAATATTTACAAGACTAAGGATTTAAGGAATATTCAGTAAAAACCCTAATCTAATGCTATGAAATGAAGACAACTAAGTCCCTAATGAAACAGAAATTTGCTGAACATTGCAGGAGCTTCTGAGAGGTGTTACTTTCAGAGACCTCTAAGACAGCTCTTTCTGAGTGAACGGATACTCAGATGGAAAATAGTGGATACGATTTTAAGGAGGCAAAGCCTAAAAGATGAAGCAGCATGTTATCTAGCAAGCGCTTCGAGTGCAGGTTTAGCAGACCACCTGGGACAGACCTGTGTCTTGCTGAAGCTAAGGGTAGTTATGTTAGCATTCAACTGTTGCCTTGTACAGTTTGGTCTTGGGCAGGTTATTGTCATAATAGTTTTGGCCTAACATCATCTTTAATTAGCTCTTTTCCATGATATGTTGGTGATTACAAAGAGGATGTCTTACTCCACGCTTTCCGCCCTGTTTTAGGTGGGCCTCTTCTCCCTCCAGGGTCATCCAGGGCTGCCTTCTCCCCCCACCCTTTCCCTGCCAGCTCTGGGCACACAGTCTATCTGCTCTCCTCTTTCAACCCTTGCCCCCAGCCCACAGCACAGCCAGCGAGCCTCTCCTACCACCTACAGCTGGGTACCAAGGGTGCTGTGCTGCCTCGTGGCTGCAGGAAAGCTGCACACAGTCATTTCATGTATTTCTGGCCAGAAAGAAAGATGTGGCTAATTAAAACAACATCGCTGGACAAAGGACATGTTCACATACGTAGGAGGTTTCTAAATGCAGAATGATGCATTACTCTGGCCTCAGGGAAATGGAGGTACGGCTTTGTTGATTAAATATCACAGAGAGGGAGGAAAATAACAGAAGAGGCTATATGTAGCTGAGTTGGAAGGATAGCTTGGCGCAGCACAAGTCAGAGGGCTCAGTTCTTTAAACAGCTTGTCAAAATCTATTTCCAAACATAGGGAAAAACAAATGCAGCACAATTGCTTTCCAACTTTCCCCTTCACCATCAGGTAACAGTAAGAGGATGGTTAAAGACCATTCCAGACAGCTTCCACGAATGTACACAAACTCTGACTGCTCTAATGAATCAAAATGACTCGGCTTCGTAATCCCTCATGGCTGGTAATAAATCTGTCTGCTAAGCAGGCTTATTTATTTTTAAGGTAAGTGATCACAGGCAGCAGAATATCCTCCATGCCATTTCAGCTCTTCCAATGCTCTTCACACGCTGGGTTGGGGTGTTAGGGTCTCTCCCAAGGAGAATCCCACAGGAAGAGTGCCCGGCCCATGTAGTGGTGGTGGCACACCCAGAGTACCTCCTAGCTGTACTGGGGTGACAACAATTACTATGCTCACAGAGAAGGTAAGGCAACATCACTCCACTGGCCCCAACAGATGATTAGTAAGCAACTCTTAACTCCCAGCTACAATGAC